GCTGAAAAACATAGGCAATTTTTTGGTCAGAAGTTCATTAGAAACTAGTGACCAACCCGGCACTTTAAATTTTAAATGCGCTCGCGCACGATGTAAAACTTGTCCTTTCATTCACAACGCTGAAAAAATATCGGGACCCAAACGATCCACAAAGATCCCTGATCCCTTCACGTGCACCTCAGCAACGTCATCTATTGCATAACTTGCACTTATTGCAAAAAACAAGAACATCGGCGAAACAGGAAGACGACTAGGTGACCGATTCCGAGAACACCATACCGACGTTGAAAGCAATGATAAGGACGCATCAAAACCAGTCGCTAGACACTTTAATCTACCTAATCATTCTAAACAACATATGGCAATCTGGGGCCTTTCCTTACATTTTGGTAGCTCGGAAAGCCGCAAAACTCTCGAACAATAGTTCATCTTCCAAATCGGCAATTTATTCGTATTTTTCTCGTCATCATGCCCCCATCAACAGAGTAGCTTCACTTTCTGAATATAAACACACAAACAACCCACAATTCCTCCATTCGCTCTGACGATGGGCTAAGGCTCGAAACGTCAGCTTTTTAACTCTTTACGGTGGCCAATTTACAAGTTCAACTTAGTTGATATCACCAAATTACCCTAAAGTGGTTTGCACGTTACATCATTGCCGTCACGTTGGTGGACGTAAACAATAGATATCTCATTAGCTCCTTTTGTTCGTCCACCAGCATTTGTTCCTTTCACCTTTGTTACATGTGTCGCAAACCACCTATAGTCGCTGCGCGTCAGTATCAAATGGGGTATTATGAAAAGTTATCAAAACTCATAAGATGAAAATTATTTCGTTACAATTTAAAACCATAGACTCAAGTATGTCGATGACTACGGAATTTGTCAAGAGTTTTACATAGTTTAAGGAATTGTTAAAACCATGAAAAATACACCTCTAGCAGAACTCCATTTAAATTGATTGTTGGCATCTTTTCTAAAACCTGCAAACCATCGGAATTCACTCCTTATTAAAACTATGGAGTAAAAAAAAAATTAGAACAGAAAAACTTAAAAATCAATCCTTGATTGTAATAAAAGTATCATTAAATATTTAATTAAATGTTTCTACAAGCATCAAATGCTTCCACTGTACTATGTACAAGAAATGGTCTTCCAGCTCAAGAGATGCAACTACTTAAAGAGCTGTCAAATAAACTGTCCCACGCAACTTTCTCTTTGGCCTTTAGCTAGCACTGAACAGTATGCTACAGAACAATGTAGTCCTAAAGAATACTGTGCAAGGTGTGTCTGGTATAAATTAAGAACAGAAATAAGACATTTTTTCACATTTTATAGGCATTTTTCATCATGAGGAGGAAGTAGGCATCATTGTCTATGGAGGCACTGACACCAGCGTAGTAGTTCATGAATTCATCGCGAGTAATCTGGAAAAGTAAAAGAAAAAAGAAGTTTTAAAATGTTTTGCAATTTCTATGGCCAATGACCCAGCCAAACTTCAAAACTGGATCTTTTCACCCAGAGCAAAGTGCCACCCACTAAACTCCCACAGTGGCAAATATTACCTTGCTTTATCAATTAACAAAAAACCAGGGGTTTCAATAAAAGCCCAATCTGTTTATGTGTCAATCAATTCGAAGCTTTGACATCCTCCCCGCCCCCCCCCCTCCAATCACCCCTGGCAATCCCACACAGTATTTAAACTTTTGAGATTGGTTTGTACAAATTTCCATCCCCTGGCACAAAAACCATGTTCAAATGCACCTCTTAAGTGCTGAATTTGATGATCATTTTCAAAAATCAGCAAACGTGACTTTCTACACATCAACCAAGCTTTAAAACCCCACGACTTATAGACCTTTTCTTGTGAAAGGGAATTATTTACCTTTAAACACCACCGTATCTAAAATATCACACTTTTCTTTTCACTGGAAACACTTGACACTTGCAGCTCAAATTCTCCGCCCCAGCTGGGTAGGGTTCAAATCCTTGACCACTGGGAAAATGCCAGTGGATTGCTGGAAATGGGATGGGGGATTGCCGGGGATGTGGAAGCTTTGAATTTATTGGTGCATTGGGCCTGCAAGTAGGCTTTCATGTTTAGGTTTTGCCATAATTACAGTTACTTTAAATTTGAGTCCACATGTAACTATGAGAAATTATGGCATGACATACATGTAACAAGAAAACTTCTGAAAAGAGGGAAAACTAACCCTTACCTTTCCATCCACTTCACTGCTGCCCACCTCAAATGTATTCAAAAATTTTGTAAAAATTTGTTCCTCTGTCATTTCTCCATTCTGGTATTTTGGATGCATCTTCACATTGTAAACTCTAAGAGGGTAAATAATAACGTAATCAATATGCAATTCATAATTATAATAAAACAAAAAAATACTGTTAACATTAACTGTACGACCAAAAATCTCAATTCTTTTT